CCCAGTGTGTAGTTGTGCATCTGATTTTTTTTTTCCCTTCCCTGTGTGTAATGCTTGTCTTTATTGAATTTCACCTTGTGGAATTCAGACCAATTCTCCAATGTGCCAAGGTCATTTTGAATTCCAATCCTGTCCTCCAATGTGCTTGCAGCTCCTCCCAGCTTGGTTTCGACTGCAGATTTTATATGCATACCCTCCACTCATTTCCAAGGCATTAGTGAAAGTATTGTATAGTGCTGTCCCCAGGACTGACCCCTGCGGGACCCCACTAGGCAGGCTCTCCCAGTCTGACAGCGAGCCATTGATGACTGCTCTTTGAGTATGTGCTTTCAACCGGCTGGCCGCCCACCTTACTATAATTTCATCTAGACCACATTTCCCTGGTTTGCTTAGGAGAACATCATGTGAGACTGTCAAAAGCCGGATTAAAATCCAGGTATATCACATCTATCGCTTCCCCCCATCCACAGGGGCAGGAACCCAGCGTGAAATGCTTTATCCAACCTTCCCGTAAGGCCACAGAGCAAGCAAACTAGTCCTGGAAACCAAACGTTTGATTTCTATGCCTGCCTGGGCTCCCTGCCCCCTCTCCTCAAATCTGTGTCCAAGCCTCCAAAGTGCAGCCAGGCACAGCAGGCCCAACTCCTCACCTGTGTGTGCGCGCTGGGGGGTGAGTCTATTTTAAGGCCAGGTTTAGGGTTGATGAGTAAATAGCTGCTGGTGTGGGGGTTCGTACAGGGTGAAGTGACTCGTGCTGTGATGTGTGTGTACTTTCAGTGTTCCTGATGACCTGCAAGCCGCCTCTGTACCTGGGCCCAGAGTATATCAAATACTTCAGCGATAAAACCATCGACGTGAGTATCGGCTGCCCCATAGCCCCAGGCCACCATTCACACATGGGCTGCTGTGGCTTGGGGACCAGCTTCGGTCTGCAGTTGCTGATCTCTACCCTGACCTGCAGCCCACACTGTGACCCCAGGGAGGGGGCGCTGGGCTGGCGGTGTTGGGGCTGTGGCCCCCGTGGTACCTGTGATCGCAGGCGGGGCGTGGTTCCTCCAGCTGACCCTTCTGCCTGTGCCGCAGGAGGAACTGGAGCGGGACAAGCGGGTGACCTGGATTGTGGAGTTCTTTGCCAACTGGTCCAATGAATGCCAGTCGTTCGCGCCCATCTACGCCGACCTGTCTCTCAAGTGAGTGGTGCCCAGCCTGTAATTCGGTGAGTAGGGGAGGGGGAACTCCTGCCTCCGCCTTGGCTGAGGCTGCCCCGGGGGCAGGGAATGGAGCTGACCCAGCTGGGGTTTGTGGTGGAGGATTCAGCCCAGCCACGTGCTCTTGCCCCCATGCTCCCCTCCCATGCATTGGGATCTCCCTGCACTAACTGCCTCTCCCCCCTCCCCCACCCAGGTACAACTGCACGGGGCTCAACTTCGGCAAGGTGGACGTGGGCCGCTACCCCGATGTCAGCACCAGGTGAGTGGGTCCAGGCTGCCGTGAGTAACTAGATCAGTCTCGTGCCTCCAGAATGTGGGCAAAAGTGGGCTAGTTCCACTGCCCCACCACTGCCCATCCCACCCCAGCCGATTCAGCAACAGCCCAGCCACGAGGATGCTGAGGGTCATGGCTTCACACCGGGGGTCTCTTCTCTGCTGGGATCCCCCTGGAGGGATATGGCTGTGCTGGGAACCAGACCTGCTTCCCCAGCTGGAGTGGCCCTGGGTAGTCTACTCCCCGCTCAGCCCTGCTTCAGAGAGGTCCTGAGATTAATGAGCTCTGGGAGTCTGCATCCCTCCTTGCTGGCTTCGAGCCCTTGGGATGTTGCAACCACAGAGACTGTCCTGTTAGCTTGGATTGAGGTGGGGGTTGTTGCCCGGAAGCGGAGTCTTCCCCTTTCCCTCTAGCCTGGGGGGCTGGGACATGGATGTGTCTAGGGGCAAGGAAAGAGCAATGCAGAGCCTGAGGAGTGAATGGGGAGAGGGGTTGGGATCGCTTGGTGCTCCAAGGGGTCACTCTGTCCATCCATCCCCAAAGGTACACAGTGAGCACCTCACCCCTCACCAAGCAGCTGCCCACCCTGATCCTCTTCCAGGGCGGGAAGGAGGTGATGCGCCGGCCGCAGATCGACAAGAAGGGCAGGGCCGTCTCCTGGACCTTCTCCGAGGTGGGATTCATGGGGACACGCTGTAGGGCGAGGGGCATGTGTAATCCACTGCCCTTCCTGGGCTGCTGCAGGAGCTGCCTAGTTCAATCAGTGCTCTTCCCTGAGCATTGGGGCATTGGCTCCGTTGCACCAGCCATGGGCTGGATAGGGCCATTCTCTCTGTTGGGTCCTTCCCCTGCTGAGCTCCTGACCTGGGCCAGAATTCTCGTCTTAACCCATTTCCTGTGAGCGGGGGAGCTTCCCATCCACCATCAGGACACCCTCCCTCTATCCTTTCCCCCCCCCCCCCCCCGACGCTCCCTGTTCCCCGCTGCGACATGACTCTGGGCAATCTGTCCCCAGCCTGCGGGGCTCCCCAAGCTGCCAGCGGCTGGCCAGACCTATGGTGTTGCCCCCTTCCTCCTCTGTTCCCGGCAAGAGGCTGTGGCCTGCAGCAGGCCCAGGCAGTGGGCTCGCAGGAGGCGGTGGCAGGGCATGCGTTAAGATCTGTTTCTGTGCCGCAGGAGAACGTGATCCGGGAGTTCAGCCTGAACGAGCTGTACCAGAAGGCCAAGAAACTGTCGAAGCAGCGAGACGAGGGGCCCAAGGAGCCACTGGATCCCCTGGTGGCCAGCACGGAGCTCCCCAACAGCGAGAGCAAGAAGGACAAATAGACCTGCCTCGCTCCCTGTAGTTGTCCCCCCGCCCTCTCCCGGCAGCTGTTCCATGGTGCCCAGCACATCCTGTCTCGAAGACAGTGACGAGGGGAGCTGCGTGAGGGAGTCACCACCCTCCCCCTGGGGCTCAGCCATGCCCCAGCTCCCCAGCGGGCCATGCTGGACTGTTCATGTCTCTGTGGCATCTTATTTATTCCTGTTCCTCTCTGGCATCACTTCAAGAACTGGCTGCTGATTGGCTGCAAGGGGTGGGCAGTGATTGGTCCAGCAGGGGCTGGGGGTAGAATTCCCCTAGGACTCTAGAGCAGCTGAGTTGAAGGGTGCCCCCTCTCCCGGTTGAGTGGAATCAGTGGGGGTGTGGGTGGAGAGTGTTGACTTGACCTGAACCGGCTTGGGGGTGGGGGGGGTATTGCTGATGGGCCCAACCACTTCTTCCTGGAAGATATTCTCTCCTCCCCCCTTTTCTGTTTGGGGGTAAGGAGGTGCACGGGAGTCTTCCCAGCCCTACGGTGCATGTGTGGGGTGTAGGTCAGGCCCCATTGGACCTATTCTCCCCCATGGCTTGCTGGGGAGGGCTGTTGGCTAACCCAGTGGCTGGGAGAGAGGAGCTGGAGAGTATGCGCTGCTCTGGGGCGGCAGAGCAGCCTGAGCGTGTAACTCTCTGCCCAGCCCGGGGCTGGTGGGAACTGGACTCTGCTGCTCTGGAGGACTCCTAACCAGTGCCTGACTTCTGCCCCTCCCCCACTGAAGAGCCAGGCCACTACTAGTTTCCTTTCCCTTCCTTCCAGCTGGTCTTGCTTTAACCCTTCAAGTGCCAAAAGTCTGCTCCTGGGGCACGGAGGGCAGGTGGTGCCAGGCTGCGTGTAGCACCTGAACTCCTTGTGAGCTGGGGGGGGGGGGCGGGGAATTGAGGGGTTGGCCCTAGGAGGGCTCCCTGGTTCTGTGCCTGCAGCTGCCTGGGGCACTGCCCCTCCTGAATCACAGCAAGGGGCTCCTCATCCCAGCCCTGAGGGGGAGAGGCAGTGGTGGTGGCTGAGCAGCTGTGGTTCCTAGGACAAATACTCCATGCTTCTGTTAATCATCTCTTCCTGTGTCTGTAATAAACCACGCTAAGAATGAACCCTCCCTTCCCTTCGCGGTGTCCTGTCTCCTGGGGCAGGCTGGATGTTCACTGAGCCATTGCTGGTCTCAGAAGGCCAGCCCTGGCTCCAGGGAGCTACCTCCAGCTGCGGGTGAGCTCTGTGCTGGTGGCTGCAGCCCAGTTAAAGAATAGCTGTTCTAGGGTTCCTACCCTGTGGGGTTGGCCCTGCTCTGAACTCAGTACCTGTGGGGGGGAGGAAGAGGCTCCAGAGGGGGTGTTGGGGCTTGGCTGCAAACTGTGGTCTGAAAGGTCTGCATCAGGACTCCCTGGCTGGGGCGATGGCTGGACTGGCAATGGCTCAGTGCAGGGGCGACAGGCCAATGCCGCCTGTTTGTACACGTCGGGTCCAATACACCCGAAAGGCCCAAGTGCCCCTGCTGCTCACAGGCGCTTAACGGCTGCTGGGAATAACCCTGCATGGCCACAGCATTTGGGTGCATGCGACTGTGAAGAAACTTGCCCTGCTGGAGATGGCAGTGCAGCACTGAGGTTTCTACTGGACGCTGCTCTAGGGAAGCTGATGTTCCATGGGTCCTGTCTGGGCACTGCTGTGGAGAAGCGCGCAGCACTGAGGTCCTTGTTGGGCACTGCTGTAAGGAAGCTCTCAGCACCATGGTCCCTATGGGACACTTGCAGCCCTGCACACTCGGGTTGCTGGAGTCCCAGCTGAGCCCTTGGGACCTGCCCTGCGAGGCAGGGTGACCAGACAACAAGTGTGAAAAATTGGGATGGGGGTGGGGGAGTAATAGGAGCCTATACAAGACAAAGCCCCAAATCTCGGGACTATCTGGTCACCCTACAGCTGGGCCCAGGCCTGCGCAGACACCAAGTCGCGGTAGCCCAGGTTGAGCTCTGATTGGCTGCAAAGAAGCCTCATTAATATTCAGAACGTTGTGTAACAAATTCGGGCAGGAACCATCCTGCAGAGAGCGGGGGGGAGGCTGTGCAGTAAAAACCGCCGCATGTGTTTTCATTACAACACTGCCCTGGCTGGAGCCTGACGCGGCTCCGATCACGCTCAGCGGCACCGGGGACAAAGGCAGGGCTGGCTCAGCTGAGGCCTTTCCCCACTATTATTTCCCCCGGTTCCCCCTCGCTGTGGGGTCGAATGGTTGGGAGCGGGGCACTTTCCTCTGCCTGGCTGGCCCGCGTGGCTGCGCGGAGGTTCAGCGTGGGGCCCTGGCTGTGGAGAAGGTGGTAGGTCTCTGGGGCGGGCCTGTGTCTGTGCTGCCCTCCGTGGGTCTGGTGTGTCTTGGCCTTGGGGCTCCACTGCTGGGGGGCTGCTCCGCCTAGACCCCCCGCGCTGGGATGCGCAGGAAAGAAACGCTACTGGTACCACTTGCAGGAAGTGGGTGCGGGGGCGCTTTACCCACGCCTCGAGTCTGGCCTCTAGTCCCGGCGGTCTCCCCGTCCGTCTAGCCCTGGCCCTCGCCTCTTTCGCCTTGTTGGGGCCCCCTCAGTCCTGCCCTGCAAACATGCTGGTGCCCCTTGACCCTGCCCTGTAGTATCTCCCCACCCTTGCTGTTCTAGGCCTCTCGCCCCCCTGCCTCTTGGTTTCCATTGTCCCTTGAAAGTCTCTCCACTTTGTGCCACATCCTTCTCTCCCCCCCCCCCCTTACTTCTGTGGCTGGGTGGAAGGGGCCTGTGGTCCTGCCTCTAAGGGTAGAAGGCACCACCGTGATGATGTATCCTGACCCCCTCTGAATAACCCAGGCCCGAGAACTTCCCTGGATTAACTCCTGTTCCAAAAACATCCCATCTGGACTGAAAAATACCCAGAGATGCATGGTAAGGGGCTCTTGTTTGTTCTCCCAGAGCACGATGGCCCCCAAAGTGAGGAAGAGGAAGGCAAAGGAGCCTGAGGCAAAGGCTGTGAACTCTGAGGACGTGAAGGCGAACGCCGGTGTCGATACACTGCCAAAGAGGTCACGGGGTGAGGGAAGTCGGGGCCCTGGACCCCGTGTGGTTATTGAGCATTGGTGAGTCCTGGCCAGTGCAAGAGGGTGGGTGTTTTTTAAGCCCCAGCAGGGCTCATGTCCCTGTGGAGGGCACCAGGGATGCTCAGGTGGTGGATGGGGGCCAATAGCTGGCAGGAGGGGGCTGTCTGTGGAGAGGAAGGGGAGGGTTATCTTGGGGGGGACTCAGTCTGAGACACTTCCAGAGGGGGAGCAGGTTTGGGTGGTGGGGGCACAGGCACTGGGTTCGGGGATGTGGTCATGGATCAGGCGGGGAGTGTGGCATTACTCGACATGGGGCTGGTTTGCTAGCAGGATGCCCAGCCCCGCTGACCCCCATCACCCCCCTCCTCCCCCGCAGTAAGAGCTGACGAGTCTACGGGCGCAATGCCGATGCCGTGAGCCAGGCACTGCGCCGCACCGTCGCCAACGTGGTGGTGGAGATCAACCCTGAGACACCGCGCAGGAACAGCTTTGAGGTGTCCCTGGTGAAGGAAGATGGAAGAAGTAAGTGCTGGAGTTTCTGTACAGCAGTGCTCAGTCAGGGTGCAATGATTGGGGGGGGGGGGCAGGGGCGAGCCAGGACAGGGCAGTGCCTGGGTGACTGCACACTGGGGTAGGGATGCTCACGCGTCCCACTTTAGCACAGGCTGACATGGTGAGCGCCTCATGCGGAGTAAGCTACTTCACGATTAGGTTCCTAAATGCATATGTTGTATCCCTTTCTCCCACCCTTTGTCTGACTGTTCAGAGCTCTGTGGGGCAGAGATTGTGCTGCAGTGTGGGCCCAATTTTAGTTGTGGCGGGGGGGTGAGGGGAGGAGTCTGTGCAGTGCCTGGTACATTGGGGGGCCCCTGAACTCCGTCAGTGGGGGTCTGTGCAGTACCTAGTACATTTGGGGGGGGGTCTGTGCAGCGCCTGGCACAATAGGGGCCCCGATCTCGCTCAGTGGCGGTCTCTAGGGTCTACTGCAATACAAACCAATGGGTCGCATCCCACCCGTCACCACCCCTGCCTTGTTGTTGGGGTTTCAGCGGTGGAGCTATGGAGCGGCATTAAGAAAGGGCCGCCTCGCAAGCTCAAGTTCCCTGAGCCAGAGAAGGTGGCTGACATGCTGAAGAGCAGCTTGGTCTAACGCAGAGCTACACCGAGGTGAGTTATTCCTGCTCCAGGACTGGACCAGCAGAAGGGATGGCCACTGGAAATCTGAGGGAGGAGGGAAGAAGTGACTGTAACTAGTATGGTTGAGATCGGTGTGTCTGTCAGACTCCAGCACAAACCCCCTCAGCTTGTGCTTTTTTTAATTGCCGGCACCACCTGGGCTCCCCCGCCCTATGGCCAGTCATAAAGGTCTTGCAGAGCAAACTACACTCTGAACGACCCCTGTGCCACCTCCTTGCCCTCCGTAGCCACGCCCTAGCGTCAGGGTCAGCAGATGATGCACGAGGAGGAATAGAGTCCAGCTTGTGCTCTCCATGCGGTGGTGTCTCTGCAGGGCTAATGGGAGCCGAAATACACAGTTGTCACTAAAGACAGCAGATCCGACTCCATGCACCCGGGGTCACTTCTGGAACCCATGTCCAATCAAATACCGGCTAGGGGGCATGTTGCCTTAACTGGACATGCTGAACTTGTCAGCAGGCTAATGCTAGGGATGCGAGAACGCGGCTGTCGGAGCCTCGGTCCATTCCAAGCCCAGACCGCCTAGAGAGGAAAACCTAGTCCAGGGTGCGTTGGCTGTTCCTGTGAGGGTGAAGTGTCTCCTTTCCCGGACATGGAGGCAGGGCTGGATCCATCAAAAATGCCTTGTGGTGGGGAGGAGGTAGCAGTGCTTCAGCGCCATGCTCTGTATTCCAGCCGCTGAGCAGAAACCCCCTCCCCCTCATCCAGACCCTGCATGGTCTCTCCCCCATGGCGGGAGCCCTTTATCTGGGGGGAGGGGGGGGCCGCTAAGGTAATATGAGTGTATCACAACACACCTGAGAATCCAGGTGCTGGGCTAGTACACTGACCTCTGGACCATCCTTCCTCTCAAGGAGCTGTCACCCCTTAAGTTGGCAGGCTTGTCAGTGGCTTAAGGGTGACCTCAGTATGGCTGCCGCTAGCCAACAAGCTAATGCAGTGTTTTGGGCCCAAATGACTGGATGCTTAGTGCAGGAGTGAGGTGGCGGTATATCATTTCCTGTGTGAACAGCCAGGGCTGACACCTCTCTTTCTCATCCTGGCAGCCGGGGCTAGGACCCATCCATTCCTTGTGTGGACTGGAGCATCCATGAGGAGGCATGATGAAGTGGGGGAAGGGGCCAATGGCCAAACCTCAGTCATGTCTCTGAAGCTGCAGCTCTTCCCACTGGGAGTGGTGGGCCAGATGATGCCACTCTGTCCTTCGCTTCTGCTCTGCTCCCACAACCATCCTCTGGCCTTCCTTAGTAGATGATCTTTCACTGTTTTGTGGTTAGAGTTCTTTTGGTAATAAAGCTTCTAAAAAAACCTATTTGTAAGTGGTAGCAAGGTGGGGTGATGGGTCAGAGGTCACCATACCGGCTGGTCAGCTGGACTGCACCTTCTCCTCCCACTATGTTGCACAGCTTGCAGCCATCAGTGGAGAGCCCCACTCCAGGACATGCTCATGCATTCTGCTAGGAGTCTTGCCAGGTGTCCTGCTCCCTGCAGGAGGGAGGAAACGGCTCCTGGCAGTTTGCACTGCATAGCTAGGAAAGCCGGGTGGTGCAGTCCATGTAACAGAGGGCAAATCCAGCAGAACGAACAAGAGGCAAATACAACCATTTATTTCAAACAAGCCCCACCCTCTCACGCTCCAGGCTCTCCTTGCTATCCCATCTTCTCCATTGCTAAAGGGGCCGCTGCAGCAGGTGGTCGGTCCCTGCAATGAGAGAAGTGGAGGGAGCATGGCACAAAGCCCACATGCTTCCTGGAGGGGGGGATGAAAATACATGCTGATGTTAAGGGTAACAGATGTTCTCATTAGGACAGTGACGCGTGAAGATGAGCACTAAGTAAGTATGGAGCTGGTGTTCTTTGTCAGTGGAGGGATACATGTGCTGTGGGAAGCAGCAGGGAAGAAAGGGGAGCTGGGTCATAACAGGAGAACCTCAACTCTGGAGGAGATGCACAACAGGTCAATGGGGCAGCAACGTGATCATGGGAAATGAGGGACAGTGGCTTGTGCTATGGCATTGCCAGGCAGGAGTGGAGTTTGCGCCTGAGATAGCCGTGACTCCAGGTAGGTAGGCTGGTACCACTGCTGGCCAATTATTTTGCAAAACTAGAATCCTGGCTGCAGCCTTAGGAGCTCCTAATAGTGCTTCACCAACATCTGTGGCCTGTGTCCCCATGGCCAGGCTTAGAAAGGTTAAGATGTTTACGTACATAAATGTAGAGGAAAAAACTTAAGCTAAATGCACAACAGGGGCAGGAAAGAAACTGAAGACAATTAGGCAAGGCCTATCCTGGGTGCCAGCACTGGGAGGTGGGAGTGTGAGCTGAGAGCACTGTTAGCATCACCTTTAAAGAGACTCTACAACACACAGGGGTGCGGACTACCACCCGCAATGGATACTTCCACCGTTTGATCCATGTTGGGCCCATTCATTCCCTTCTCTCGCTGCACCCACACAACTGCCTTGTACCTCAACAAAATGTCTGTGGGTCTGAAAGTGGCTGTGACAGCAGGAAAAGCGGCTTCACCGTGTGCAGCCCCTCAGCCCTCTGTCCCAGCACAGGTGGAGGCGGGGGGGGGGCTCCAGATGACTGGGAAGGGCTGTTCTCTTTCCACCCCTTGCCAGCCTCCTCCCCTCAGCAGAACTGAAGCAGTGGTAAGATGATTCAACCACAGAGGTCAGCAGAGCGCCAATAAAGTAGTAGGTAACACTGGGGCCACCCCGTTCTCAGTCCTAGTGCGTCATCAAGTGACCAGTGCATTTCTTGTTTAAATCCCAGTGACCATCCCTGTGTATGGCTCAGCCCCCTCCCAGAATTAACAGGGGGGGGGGGAGATGCTGCACCTCCATCCTGGCTTCAACCCAGCTGTGCCCTCCAACTGATCCCTGTCCCCCCCTTGCAGAGCGGTGGGAGAGCTCTTCCCACTATCAGGCTCCGCAGAGCTCCCCACTCCAACAACCTGATTCATTTTGTTACTAGCAGCGTCCCATAGTCAGTCTCAGCTATGACAGCTACACCTCGGTGGCCGGCTGGCTGCGATGGCTCCCGTAAGCCAGACTCCCTCCCCCTCTGCTAGAGACCACTAGTTCAGAACGTCCACCTCTTCATCAGACTCCGAGGAGGGGTCAGGCCTGACGCAGGTGCTGCCAGCAGGTACCAGAGCCTCCTCAGCGCCGGCCATGATGTCAATCTCGTCGCCCTCCGGACTGTCCGGGGGCTGATGGTCCAAAGGGCCATGCTTTGGGCGGCTTCGGGGCAGCCCCCAGGGTGCCTGAAACTGGGACCCTGTCTCCATCCCAGCAGCCTGGGTGGTGCAGAGTCCCTGCCCTTTCCCCGCGCTGCCTTCCGCAGGAACACGGGGCAGTGGGCCCGACGGAGCCTCCCTGCTGCCAGCTGCCAGCTGCGGATGCTGAAGAGTCTGGGGGCTGGCAGGTGCCAGGGGCACTGGGCTGCATGAGGTGGGATGGTGACCGCTGGAGAGAGCCCTCCTGGGTGCAAGATGGCCACCTGCAGGCTGCCCCGGGGGATCCCCATCTGCAGTGCTAAGGGCGGAGTGACCACCCCCCACCTCCCATCCTGGCAGGGGGCCCTTCCCTGGGTCGTCCCACTCTGGCCACAACTGCACCTCGGGGGGATGCCACGCCTCGCCTGCTGCAGCAGCACCCACGGGTGTTGTATTTGGCCCACGTGAGGGGCCCATGGAAGGGGCACAGCCTGCTGTCCCTCCTGGCCCAGCAGTGCCCAGACCCTCCACACCACTGCCTGATAGCAGCAGGTCCAGCATCTGCTCCAGCGGGGCTGAGTCCCCAAACTCCTCACTCTCACTCAAGGGCTCCAATGCCGCCATGTCCAGCTCGTAAGTGTCCCTGCAGCCTCCTCTCCCATCTGAGGGCCCCTGTTCTACCATCGCCTGCTGAGGAAGCGGCACAGCCTCCAGCCTTCCAGCCAGCAGCTCAGTGGAGCTGGCTGCCCGCGTCTCTGGCAGCTCTGGCCAGCGCGTAAAGTTGTGCGGTCCGGAGCTGGGCGGGGAAGCCACACGGGAGGTGCTTGTCTCTCCCACGGTCACTGGGGCTCCTTGGGGCTCCCTGGCTGGTGGCTCTTGTACCACCTCCCAGCAACTCCTGTTGACGACCTTCCTGAGCTTCACACTACCCACATGCCCCTCCCCTGGGGTAGTGTCTGAGCCAGAAGCCGATGTACTGGAGCTTCGCTTCCTGTTGCTGGTCTTTGGAGGCACAGGGAGGCTCCCAGCATGGCAAGAGGGGCTGGCCTGCTCTAGCCCACCTGCTTCATCCCAGCCTGGGGTCTTCTGCCGCCAGAGGCGCCGGATGGAGGTGGGGGTCTTGCCGGGTGCTTCAGTGGGGGGTGCCTTTGTGGCACAGGCATTGTGGGGAGGCGGCAGTTTCGGGCAGCTGAGTTTGATCTTCCTTGGCAGCGGTGAGCAGTCTGTGGTGCAACCCTCGCTGGGAAAGGCCTGCTCAGCGCTCCTCTCGCCCGGTGACCCTTCGGCCTTGCCCAGGGGGCTCCCCACACCGAGGCTCCTGTCTAAGCCCAAGGAGCGGCTCTGGGTTCTCACGTTCCCAGTCTCCACAGGAGCCACCGCACCCTGCATCCCTGGCTGGGCTCCCCCGTTCTGAGGTACTACAGCCGCCCAATACTTGGCGCTCTCCGCCTGACAGGCGGTGCTGCTGGCACGTACCCCACCATCACCCGGGGGCTTTGCCGTACGTTGCTTGCCTGCCACCAGGGGGTGGAATGTCCGTGGGGTGGTGGGAGCCGGCGGACAGGCCTGCGGCACGACACTAGCAGAGATAGGAGCCAAGCTGGGCGGCTGTAGGCACTTGCGGTTCAAGCGCCGACCCAGCACCTGTTTCACCAGCTTCCCACCCTCCAGCTGCAGCGACTCCAGTTCTGCTACTTGGAACTGCCGGGCGGCAGCCAGGATATCCCGGGCCTCCTCCCGGGACACTTCCATCTCCGAGGTGTATAGGAAATCCACCAGCTTCCGCAGAGTCCCGATCTTCAGACCCCGCAGCTCCAGCACCACTTTGCACCCTTTGGAGGGCATTTGCCTCTCCAGGCACTCCATGAAGAAGGGACTGCAGGCGGAGAGAATGCAGCAGTGAGCCGGTACAGCCTCTCCTGCAAACAAAGGAGTGGACCATCAGTGTCATAGGTTAGCTGGGCTCTGCTACTGCATTAGCGATTACTACCCTGTTCCAACCCCTTTAACAATGGTGCTTTATTGGGTTTGGGTTGGCCTGCTCTGTGCTGCTCCAGTCCCCAAATCCTCTCAAGAACCCTGCTGTGTGTGGGACTCGGCTCCTCTCTATTCGGTATTAATAAACCTCACTTATGCAAAAGGGCAGTTCACATTTTAACTACCCCAAAGCCCTAGTATCGCCAACCCACAACAATTCAAAAATCAGGCGTTGGACCCCGCCCCCAAAATCATGAAATTGGCTTAAAATCGTTATTTTTATTTGCCTTCTGATTTCAGAACCTTTCGGGGGTCCTTGCTTCACCTTTTCAAGCTTTCTTCCACAAGCACAAGGAAGCTAGAACCACACTTTAAAAAAAAATTAAAGCAAAGATTTTCTTCCTCTCTTCCAATTCCCGCAGCCAGGGCTATAAGAAAAGCACCAAATATTGCAAGACTCGTGATAAAAATCACATGAGTTGGCAACTCTTCATTACGGTTCCTGAGGCAGCTCTAACTCAGCCTGCTTATGCTGGGATTTGGTTTCATTCTTGTCTGAGGAGAGATCATATCTCCATGGCCCCCTCTCCAGCCTTTCTCCCCCGCCCCCGGCAAAGGATGCCACTCCCCGAGTCACTTCTTAGTAGCAAAGACCGTGCTTCCATTTCATACCAGGCAGAGGGTTAATTCAAGTGGATGCTTTTATTTCTGAGGTCCCTTCCACTGCTCCAGTTAACTGCATCGACAGCCAAATAAAACTAACAAACCCCACTCAAAATAAAATTAAGTTGTCTGCTTCCTTTAAAAAAACAAGCCACCCACACTTTTCTCCGTATCCCTTTTCTATCCCATGACACATGGTCCCTGAAGAGAAACTACGCAAGGGAGGCACCGTAAGGGTGGGGCTCTGGGGAGAGCATGCATAAGCTACTAGGGAGGCCTGAGTGGTTCAGTCTTGGTCCTGGGGTTGGGGGCAGGAGGAATACTGGATGAGATCGGTGTCCCAGGATTATGCCTAAGATGACAGACCTAGAGTGTCTGGACTCTGCCCAGACCCAGTGGGCTGGAAAGCATGTGGGGTCCAAAGATTTGGGTCCAATCCAGCAGTCTCAT